GGCCACAAACGTTCAATCCGCAGTCCAGCCCGGTCCGATCCGGACCAGTCTCCAGACAAAGGCATCCATCGACAGACATTGCCATCACAATCGCCATCGCCATGTGTGTCCGCTCGCATTTGTTGTTTTTGTTGCTTTAGTTGTTGTTGCTGTTGCTGTTGTTGGTCGCATTCGCGTTTGCCTCCGCCCGTGACTTGGCGATTTTATTTTCGCTCCATTTCTGGTCATAAATATTCAGTCAAGTGTCATCTAGACGTGGCATGTGTACTGGAGTTTGAAATGAAATAGAGATGCGACATAGCCGGGGATGTAGGAGTATCAAGGAGGGAGGAGGCATCACATATAAGTCGACTTAAATCGAGTTAAGTCACTTCTGTGGTCGCGACCAAGTGGCCTCTACCCAAACTCCAAAGCCAAATCCTAAAAAACTCCGCTACCTAACATCTGCCAATTGAGCTGAAGATTTTTATGTATACCCTGTAATCATTTTAAGGGGCATCATGAGAGTGTAACTGGCACACCTTCTGTCTGGTCGCGAAAGCTTTAAGTGCTGATAATTGCTCAATAGCTCATATCGATAAATATCGATCTTATTGTATTTATTAATATTTTTATATTTATAATATCGACACACTTGAATGTCATTCTTATACTCTACAGGGTATCTTTTAATTCAGTACTCCAGGCAAGAGCACTCTTAGATGTTTTTTATATATTTTTAGGACCACAGCTGAAACTTGTGGACAAGAAAGAAAAAAAATTATAGAAAAAAGAGTTGAATTTGTGTTTTATGGTTAGCTCATAAAAATGGAGACAGTGTGTGTGTGTGTGTGTGTGTGTGTATCTGTGTGTTTGGGAGTTATGGAGTTGGAGAAGGCATTCCAGAGTGCAGCGTGTGATGGCCAAAAGCAATGAGCATGTTAACTGTCATGTGGGAGGCTTTTGAAGTTATGAAGAATTGTGCTTGAAATTGGACGAGCCAAGGAAATCAACCAATACACACACACACACACATGTGTCTATGTTATAATCTATGAGTTGATTGTCGATTACAGTTAAGTCAGGTTTTCTAAGCCAAATTATAACAGAGCTCTCCACTTGATTAGATAATGATATGAGAAAATTTTGATTACACTGTTCATTAGGTCATTAAAGTTGAATCAGAAGAGAAAGGTGAACGTTGTTTGGCAGTTTGCTGAATTTGTTGTTAATCTCGCGATTAATGCAAAATTTTGAGCAGACACTTAAATTTGTTATACGTGATTAGATTGCTTGTCAAGCTTAACCTAAGATAAAACATAATAACATAACATAAAGATCATGACTATTAGCGGATTCTGAGCTGTTGAGATGTGAGATTATATAGTATATAGGTTGAAGTATCTGTGTATTTAAAAAAAAACATTTTGAAAAGCCCTCGTTAAAGGCAGACACTTGGAGGACATTCACACGGAAGTGCAATGCTTGATGCAGTATTCAAAAGTTTTACTTAATGGTCGCTACTCCTTTCAACGGAAGTGACAGGATTAACTGGCCACTTGAACACGATTAAAACCGAGTGAAGTAGCTGACACTCCCGCTCTTTCTCTCCACATATTTCACGCCCTCTTAGTCACGTGGAATCAGTTACATATGCTTGTAAGTCTTCCGCATATGGCTGTTAATCAGTTGAGTCAGCAGCCAGCAGCCAGAAACAGCAGCAGCAGCCGCTTCTAATCATGATTGGCTATCAGTGAATGCTAGCCATCCATCAATCAGCTACGTTTTCGCAGATAAGAAGCACTATCTGTGTATCTGAAACTGTCTGCGTTGCGTGGCTTGGCTCAATCATTCGCACGTGCTTGGGTTAACGTTAACGCTCAATTTGGCTAAATGCAATTTGCATACACTTAGATCTCGATTGCCCACAGAGCTCAGAGACTTCTACTTGAACGGTACCCCACCTTAGAGCCCCCAAGAGACCCCCAAAGCTGGAAGACTCTAAAATATTGCCCAGGTTCATTTGCCTTTTTTTTGAGGGTTTCTTTTTGTTTTTTTGTGGAGTGCACTTGGGTCACGTTTTTGATATTTCATTGAATCAAAACAAATAGCTGCCAGGCTGGCTGGCTTTAAATAAATAAATAAATAGCGTAACCGCTTGGGGGTACCAAAGCAAAAATTTCGTGTAACGAGTTTCCAGTTGTCCGCTCGTTAGGCAAATGGCCGTAAAATGTGGCCAGCACATAAAAAATTAGATTAAACATCATAAAAATGTAAGTCGTACTCAATTAGATGGTCAAGAAAGCAAACTGTTGCCATCTATAGTCTATAGTCCCGGCCATAAACAGAAGACCAAACCAAGTTAGCCGATTCTTAGCGGATTTTCGCTTTCTTTGCTGTTGTTGTTGTTGTTGTTGCTGTTGTTGTTGCTCTTGTTGCTTATTTCGATTTTCCTTATTTTTGTCTTGGCTCAGCACTTTGCTAATTGACAATTTCTTGCCATAAAAACGAACTTTTCCAATAACCCAAACTCACTCATTTCGTCTAAGCCATTAAAAAATTAATTGCCCACTTCCCCTAGGACATTGTCGTAGTCGTCGTAGTCTCAGTCTCGCTCTCTCTCTGTCTCCCTCTCTCTTTCTCTCCTTCTCTGTTGACAGTACACGCCCCATACATCGCACTAATTCTGCTTTTAGAGCAGCTAAACGACCCATCATCGTCGTCGTCGTGTCTTCGTGGTCGACTCTTTTGCCAGCATTTGTTTCCCATCAGACAGCTGTGGAAAAAAATAAGGGCTTGCCGTCGTCCAAGTTGCCAAAAGCATACCAAGAAATCAAGCAAGTCAGCTGAGTTAGCTTTGTAACTAACTCTAAAATGCCCTGTAAACGTTTAAATACTACAAATTTTGATATCTTTTAGTAATTCTGCGAAATTTATTTTATTATTTTTATAAAGCAATAAATGAGATATATATATATATATATATTAGACTAAAATTATATTGGTTTCTTAGGAAGTTTTTTTAAACTTCCCGCTTGATTGAGTATGGCCATTAGCCAACAACGCTAAAGGGAACATGAAACCGTTTAATTTTGCCACAAGCTTCTAATTTTTCTATTATTGCTACGTTTTCTTATTAGCTTTATTTTATTTTATTTTATGTTTTTGCTTCGGTTCGCTTTTGTCTCGAGTGCTTTGTCAATTCGGTTGTGGCTGACCTTTTGTAAGCACTTCTCTAATTGTGACGCGGCACCGACGAGCAACAAGCTGCAGCTAAGCGAGACAGAGAAAGAGCGAGAAAAAAAGATAGAGATAGCTTGAAACCTGACGCTTTATTTGCCGCAATTTTTTATTTGTTTTGTGTTTTTTTATTTTTGCGTTTTTTTGTGTTTTTTTATTTTTTGGCAGAGTTTGTGTGGGTTTTCGATTGACTGACGCAAGCGTCCAATTATATATATTACTTTCCAATTTTATTGCTGACATTATACAGTAACATATAGTATATTATGGTATAGTAAAGTAAAGTATACCTCCATTTGTTTATGACAACTTAGTGACGTAATAATTTCCTCCGATTAGATTGTACTTACTAAATGCTGACTCTAACATTGAAGTTATATTTATACAATACAATACTATCTTCCGTTTGTGGCATTTCCGTTCGCAAATTTTTGTTATCAACATGCACAGAATTTCAAGTGAATCATTTATTAACTTAAGTCAAAAGTTCAATTGAACTCATACGAATAACTGAGCAGTCGATTGAGTCGGCATTGCACTGTATTAAATTATCTTTCTCTGCTTGCTCAGCATGTACTTCACATAACTTCTCATGAGTTTTGTTGGGTATTTTTTCTTTGATGGTTAACATTTAAATGAAATGGGACCATATTTACCCAGTCATAACTTTGTCAAAAGTGATCAGATTTTCAAAAACCATTGCTTTTTAATCCTGGTTTGATATATATTTTTAGTTAAAATGCTGTTATTTTATTAGTGATAAGCTCGTCGTTCATAGCGATTATCATAGAAATGTGGATACGGAATTCCGTAGAGTACTTAATCTTTGGCAGCTCAAAACTACAAGTTCTGTCTGTTTCTTTTTGGACTTCATTTCTGAATGACAAGCTGCCGCTTCTCTATCCCTTTTTACACTTGGCAGGTTAAAAGCGCAAGTGCAAACACTTCGTATAGTCTCCCCTATTCTACATAAAGTACTACTTCCATAGGGTACATCCACTCGACTCGACTGCTCCTTAATTCTCATTCTACAGGCACTTTCGCACACAGTGCGCAACATTTTAATGAGTTGGAAATTTAATACCCAGCCAGCCAGTAGATTGCAAAAGGGATAAGGGGATGTGTTGGGAGAGAGGGGATGGGAAAGGATTCACTTAAATTCGACTACCAACTGCGGTAGGTCCCGCTCCCAGGCTCACACAATTCATTTTGCAGTGTGCTTTTTTAATAATTTTAAATTTGCATTTAATTGAAAGATTAATGAGCAGTCAAAAGACAAACTTAATGAACAACTGGCAGAGCGACTGACTGACTCTGACTGACTGATTGTCTAAGTTAGTAGCGAACTGAGAGTTACGTAGCTCAGCCAGACTTTAAATTAGTTTTAATAGACTCTACATTCGTTTTTCCACTCACCTTGAACTTGAGTTCCGCCTCAAAAAAATAAAAATAAAAAGATTACACAAGCCGCATCGCATCGTTAGACTAACTTGTGCATACACAAATACATTTAATACATTTATATGACTTTATATATATATATATATATATATATATATATTTATATATTATGATCTAGTACATATGTTCTTTGTCTGGTATTGAGTATAGCTCTTTGTGTAGCCGCTTCCGTTCGTCTCGCGGACACAATGCGCAATTTCTCTCAGATAAATCTTGTTGCTTGAGTATTTCTTTATTATATTTTTTTTTAGCAAATTGTTTTAGATTGTGTTTTGCGTATTTAATTTATGCTAAATGTTCTTTCCCCTCATCTTTTCCAGTTTTAACAACGACGACTTTTGTCTGGGATTTTTGTGCGCTTGCGGAAATGTAAGTTATTTGCTCAGTTAAACATTCAACTGTTCTTATTTCGGTCTCTTTAATTAAGTTGTGCATTTTACGTGACGAGCTTAAAATTGTTGTGATTTTAAGTGACAAACATGACTCACTTGACTTATCCATTAATTTTAACCAAGTATCTCACATGATCCAAATCTTTGTGAACTTCCATTTCACGGGTGAACTTGTAATAATTAGTCTTTATGACGTTGAGCTGCCTTGCTAAAGTCTTGAGATGTGTGCTTTTGTCGGCCCCCTCTACCGCCCCCTTGTCCGAGTCAACATTGGTTTACCGCCACTGAAACCTCAGTCCTCACCCTCCTCAAGTTTCACTTCGTGTTGCTTCTAATTGTAGTTTAACTTTCTGGCATAATTTATGACTCTTTAGCTGGTTTTGAAGTTTGGTAAATATTTTTTTGTTTCTCTCTTTCTTGTTGTCTACCTGCTCAACTCTCCTTCTTCTTGTTCTCTCAAAATTCTGAGAATCTTTAAATTGCATTCTGAATAGCAGATTTGCAAAAAATAAGCAGAGGAGGAGGCAGTTTGTTCTATTGATTTATAGTTTGAACAGCATAACAGTTTGTCGGGGTAAGATAACTATTTTATCATTATTTATGTGACATTTTATTTAAAATACATATCTTTCATGAGATTAGGCCGAAACTGATAAGGGTTTGCCTGGTCGATATGTGTAGGTAATTAAAAGGGTAACATAACAAGAGAATGGAAGCTAGAATTTGATTTTAAATGGATTTCTAAGACTTCAGCACAATTTTCACAAGAATAAAATACGACCAATTTAGCAGTTTGAAGTGAAAATGAATAAATTTTAATCAAGTGCCTAAGACATATCAAATGTGTAAATTTTAGACTGAGAAGAGAGCTAAGAGTAAATGTTTGACATATAACTTTGTATATTTCTATAATATTTATATAAAGTTAACATGAACATGCCGCCTTGCTGCACATGTAATTCTCGTAATGCCCATTACAAATAATAAACACACATCTACAATAATATTAATATCAACGTGTCATTCGAAGGGGTAAGGGATGTGAGGTAAGATATTAACTATAAGTGCTGTTGACCAGCTCTATGGAAATACTTAATGAGTTTTCCCGAGTGCACGAATATGAATACATAACATGAATACACTTGTATGTATAAGTGTTTGCAAATAACCGTAAATGAAGCTTTTAGCGTCAAGTTCAGAATAATGTGAATGATGAGAAGTGATAGGGGTATGGCTGGGTCCGTGGCAGGGACTGGGGCAGGGACTGAGGTGGCTTTGTATCTGAGACACGGGCTGTGAGATTCTCAGTAACTCAACGACAGACTCAAATGCGGCACACATGTGACCTTCTACTGAAGTCGTACTGATGTCCGTCTGGTCGTGATGGGAACCAAAAAAACTCGCATTGATATTAAAAATAAATAAAATAAATAATTATGCTTAATGGTTTTTATTATGTTGATGCTACAGTCTTTATGAATATATAAATGTTTGGTTGTCTCGTTGTAAGAAACTGATGTATTTTTAACTGTGTTCGCACTTTAAAATTTCAACTGACATCATCCAGCTAAATGCAATGCACTTTTTTGTATTAGTCATAACAAGATCATTTATTATGTTTTTTCCACTTTCTGCTTTGAGCCTTTAATTTAATCTTTATGCCATTTTTTTGGTTTTTTTGTTCGAATTTTTTTTTATATTTTTGTTGCAAGATTAATTAAAATTTTTCGTTTTTGATTTATTGAGCTACAGCTTTGGGTGGTCAAAAGCCCAGCGGTGTTGGAAATTGGATGTATTTGCTTTTGTATTTCGTTTTCAGTTCAATGCCATTTTTAAAGCTTTGGGTGTTAAATAAATGAGAATTTTTACATAATGCATATTTATAGCAAAATTGCGTTTGACAACTTGTATTTGATCAATCAGCATATATTAACCTAAACCAATTAATTTTAAAATAAACATAAAATGTACATTTATTTACAGTTTCCAAAACAATTCATTTGTTTAAGCTTTTAAACGTGCAGTTTTGTTATTACTATAGTTGTGTTTGTTTTGTGATAAAACTAAATTACATTTATTTGCCATCCATTTTGCATTGTTTAAAACAATTTATATTTGTATATTTTTAGCGCAGGGTGAGATTAAAAGATTCAGCTTTAATTTAATTATGTTTTTCTGTACGCACTTGGACATTTGAGTTGAAATAAAGCCGCAAGCTTCTTTTCTTGAACATCTTTGAGCTTAATGCTTATTCTATAAACATAAATTTGCTCTTATAAATGTATTTTTTAAAGCTGAGTAAAGTAAGCTGAAATGACTACATAAAAACAACATCAAATAGCAAGCCAATTATTTATTTCATTCCAGCTATGTAAACACACGAGCTGAAGCAAATATTGAGCCAGTTATCTGAATTGTACACTTTAAAAAGCGGGCTATTGAATCCAGTAAACTGCGAAAGAATATTTTTAGTATATATTTATTTTGTTAGCAGCCTATGAACATAACTATTGTGGTTTTATTTTTGAACTAGAACTCATCTTTCGATCGATTGTTATTTTGGCAGCTATATGTTATAGTGGTCCGCTCAGGTCGGCTTCGGCATTTGTGCTATCAATTTCACAGCTTAAGCATCGTGCTTGTAGTTTTAACTGTCCCTGGTTTCTGAGAACAAAAACAGTTCGTTTAAAAAAGAAATCTACACTATAAACTAGGGTAAGCGTCATTAGCGATTATCTGAAATCCAAGACATATTTTGTTTTTTTTAGTGTATGATCAGAAATTGAGACGTGCCCCAGCTGGCATTCCTGAACTGGTGCAGCCCACAAACAGGTGCAATTCGTAATATAGCCACGCAAAAAATGCACTTAAGCCGCATGGCTGCATTGGCAACAGTTGTTTTTTTTTTTTGCCCAGAGTTGCGTAGCCCACGAGCCAAATGATATCGAAATTGGGTTAAGCAATTTGGCCAGGTTAGGCGTCAGGTGATGTTATGGTTTTTTGGTGTCGCCGCATTTGGTGTCTCAGTTGTTTTTGTTGAATGAAAATGAAAGCAGGTCTCTCGTAAATCAGAATACAAGTCGCTGTCTCTGTATCTGTCACAGTTACCATGTGGGCCAAAAGATTTTCGCCGCTTCGTGAAAGTGAAAACAGAGCTGAAAGAAAACTCACAGGCAGTCAGACTGACTGACTTTCCGGCTAACTGCAATTGCCAGACATAAACAAAATGTCAACTGCTCATTAAAACAAACAAATTTTGTTTATTTTACCTCATCGCTTTCATAATCTTTTGTATATAAAATATCTAATGTCGTTAAAGTTTGGGTTCTCGCCGATGGTGTAATCAGTGAACCGCTTTGTGCGTCTGAGTCGAGTTGTGAACTTTAGAGTCAGAGAGAGAGAGTTCAACTCGAATGCACCCAGAGAAATACTCTGTAAACAATTTTGCTTTCTAGGTTTGATTCGACAATGTTTGAACTGCTCTATGTTGCTGCTGAGTGTAGACTTTGGAGTTTTTGGCGTCGAGAAAGTATTTTCTGCTTCTTTCTTGTCTCTGCTCAACACTCTAAATGAATGTGCGTCAAACAAGTGTTGTAAAAACATTCCAACATTTTATATCTGCCAATGTTGTTAACAACTTTTCCCCCCAAGGATTACGTGGGAGAGTTGTGGTGAAAACTGATTTGCATGACAAGCTGTCGGAAGCCATTGATTCACGCAATAGTTTGGTTTGCCTCAAAAACATGACTACATGGACATACCACCAACCTGATCTATGTATGTTTGTTTATTGGCTTTAAGATTAACCTGTTTGCTGTTTTTTTTCATCTTCTTGTGTATATGTTTCTTTTTTTTTCGTGTTTATTACAACGCTTCCCATCGCATCACTTCTGTTCAGCTGAACCGAGCAGCTTCCGAGTCTGTGCTTTCTACCCCAACCAGTTTTGGTATTTCTTTACCGATTTATTGGCAATATTCACTTTTTCAGATTTTTTGTATCTTAATATATTTTTTTTTATGTACAAATTACTTGAACAATTTCTGCGGTTGCCCGGGCGAAAGTCGTTGGCTTAATTTGGGTGGTTTTTTTTTTTTATGTTGTAGTTCCTGTTGTTGCTTTTAGGCGTTGTCCCAGCCACACAGCTCTAATGCGGGCAATGGAACTTTAAGAGCAACTCTAATTAAAGTGATTGCACTCCAGCACGATTTCGATTTCCAGCTATGAGGGGCGTTCGAGTCACATTGCTGAGCATGTCTATCATTAACCGGCCCAAGTTCCCAGTTGGCACCAATCATAATACATAGATTTTGGCATTTGATTAAAATACGTTGCGCCACCACAGTGAAAGAAGAAATAACAATAACATGAGAAAGAAATAACAAAAGTGTACGTAAAAAAAACAAACAATTTTTTACGCGATAACAAAAGATCAACAAATGCACATTTTCAGTCAATATTTTTAAATTGAATTTGTTGTACAATGTAAACAATCAATTTCCATTTGCAAATTCAAAACAATGTATGCCCTTAAACTATTAAATAGTGTAAAATAGAAGTTGTGCAAAATTTTTTAGCAGGTAGAAGAAAAATTTACGAGCTCATGAGGTAAATATATTTTTGTATCGGCAGAGTTGACTTAGCCCTGCCATTTAGAAAGTTTAAGAGCTAGAGGCTTAAAATGCCATACACAGATCAAGGTGATGTCATTTGATTGATAACTCGGATAAGAAACACAAATTTGCTTAACAGGAAACTGCAAAGTATTTAACAATTTGGATCAGGGTATCGCATAGTCGGCTCTCAAATGGAGCATTTTTAAACAATTGTGTGTATATTAAAAAATCATAATTTTATCGTCAAATGAACTTTGAGTGCTCTTCAAAGCACTATCTAGAATTGAATCAAAATATATTATATATTTATTATAATACAATATAGCAGTTGTCATGACAAAAACAAAAGTAATGCTCATGTAT